AAGTATGAGGAAGTTCAGTTAGCCCTTTTCATATTCAGGAGAGCACGATTCTGAAGTATGAAGAATTTCATTTACAAGAAAGAGCTGAATCATATTCAGGAGAGCACGATTCTGAAGTATGAGGAAGTTCAGTTAGCCCTTTTCATATTCAGGAGAGCACGATTCTGAAGTATGAAGAATTTCATTTACAAGAAAGAGCCGAATCATATTCAGGAGAGCACGATTCTGAAGTATGAGGAAGTTCAGTTAGCCCTTTTCATATTCAGGAGAGCACGATTCTGAAGTATGAAGAATTTCATTTACCCGAAGGAGCGGAATCATATTCAGGAGAGCACGATTCTGAAGTATGAGGAAGTTCAGTTCACCCTTTTCATATTCAGGAGAGCACGATTCTGAAGTATGAAGAATTTCATTTACCCGAAAGAGCCGAATCATATTCAGGAGAGCACGATTCTGAAGTATGAGGAAGTTCAGTTTACCCTTTTCATGTTCAGGAGAGCACGATCTTGAAACATGAAGAAGTTTATTTATCCTTCAGTAAGAGAGAATCAGAATCGTATTCCAGGCGCCGACCTTAAATGCGAGAAGATTTATTTATCAGATAAGCAGCAGCCTCTTTATTTGAGTGCTTATCCATTTTGGCACATAAGTCCCTTCCAAGTGTCAGTTCTCCCGCGAGAAGCTTATCAGGGCACTTCCCATTAAAGTCCATTTATTTTGGCATACAGCCGGTCCTTACCCTGTATATTTGATACGGATTTCCGAAAAGTCCGTTCGATCCCATCACGAAGGATAGGTTATAGAAGCTTGGATGTTATTCTTTGCTCAATGCTCCAGCATTCTGTAATCGATCTTGCAATCGTGTAGGTCCAGTTTTATTATTAGACATTCCCTAGTGGAGGTCATCTCATAGGTGCCATCTCCATTTAAGGATCTTATTCCTAAAGTCCATTTATTTTGGCATACAACCGGTTTTTACCCTGTATATTTGCTACGGATTCCCGAAAAGTCTGCTTGATCGTGTCACGAGAGATAGTTTACAGAAGCTTGGATGTTATTCTTTGCTCAATGCTCCATGCATTCTGTGATCGATTTTGCAGTCGTACATGATCCAGTTTTACTTTTAGATTCCCCAGTGGAGTCCGTCTCATAGGTACCATCTCCATTTGAGAATCTCGTTCCCGTTCTAAAAATGACAATTGGTCGTGTTCACACCAGTTGACCATCATTTTAGAATTCCCCGGTGTTGTGCTGTGTCCCAGCACGTCGTTTTCCCCAGTGAGTTCTTCTCGTAGCGTCTGTCTCTGTGTCGTCGTATTCGTCATCATTTTCGCATTCATCATTCCAGCATACGCATCATATCATATTCATGGCATCATCTGCATTAAGCTGTCCTCGCTTTGTCCATAGCATTGCATATCGTCGCATATAAGGGCAAAATTTTCGGTTATCTATATTTAAATCTCTCCACCACGATTCCTCAAGTCTCTGTCACTCAAATCGTCCGGTGTAGCTATTTAAATAGGGGCAACTGTAATACCCCAAATTTTACCCTTTCTTTTTATTTTTATTTTAAATTCTTATTAATTTAATAAATTAACCTTTTTTTTAAATCTTGTTTTTTTAACTAATAATAATTTAATTAACCTTTTTTATAACTTTACTAATGTTTTTATTAATTTTTTTTTCTTTCTATTTAGTTTATTTATTTAAATCATTTTAAGCTCTTCTTACTAACTTTTAGGATTTAGATTAAAATTTAACTTTTTTTTTTCTTTTCTTTAAGAGTAAATTTTTTTTATAACCTTTTTTAAATTAATTTCTAACACATTTTTTTTAATTAAATTCTAATATCTTTTTAAAATTAAATCTTTTTTCTAACTCCTTTTTAAAGTTAAATCTTTTTTTTCTAACTTTTTTTAAAAAATTAAATCTTTTTTTTTTCTCTAACTTCGTTTTAAAATTAAATCTTTTTTTTCTCTAACTTCTTTTTAAAATTAAATCTTTTTTTCTAACTATTTTAAAAATTAAATCTAACCTTTTTTTTTATAAATTAAATCTATCCTTTTTTTTTAAAATTAAATCTAAATCTTTTTTGACACCATCCTTTTTCAAATTAAAATTCTAAATTCCTTTTAAAATTAAATTCTAATGCCATTTTATTTTCTTTTTTAAAATTAAAATTCTAAATTCCTTTTAAAATTAAATTCTAACAGTTTTCAAAATAATTCTAACATTTTTTAAAATCAACATTCAAATGTTTTTTATTTTAAAATTCTAACTCATTTTTTTTAAACTTAAAATTCTAATTTTTATTTAACCTGAAACTCTTATTTTCTTTGCTAACTTTTTAAATTTAAATCCAACATTTTTTTTATCAAATCCAATCACAATAAATCACAGATGGAGCAAAATCAAATCAATTAGATCATATCATCATCATAAGAAAATCAGATCTAAATATCAACATCACCATCATTGAATCAAATCTGAAATCATCATAAAAATTCATTCAAATCAAATCAGAGATTGAAAAAGATTGAGATATTCAAATCAAATCTGAGATTGGAAAAGATTTAAAAATCAAGTATAAAAGGACCCTCAGAAGCAACAAAACGGGGGATCGACAAGCATCAAAAACTCTTACAGTCTTCATCAAAAGTAACTAACTCTTCTTTTTTTTTCTAATCTTTTTATATCTTTTTTTCAAAATTTCTACCATTTTTTCTTAATTAAAATTCTAACATTCTAACTCTTTTTTTATTAAAATTCTAACCTTTTCTCTTTTATTTTCAAACTTTTATTTTTATTTTCTAACCTTTTTTTTAAAAAACCAAATTTCAAAGTTCTAATTTTTTTGCTAACTTTTAATTCTAACTTTTAATCTATTTTCTTTTTCTTAATCACATTAAAAACTCTAACTTTTCCAAATCTCACAAAAAAAACCCAATTTCATTCTAACTCTTTTCTAATTACCTAAATTCTCACCGTCTCAAAACGTTCATCACTTAACTTCTAATTATTGTCAATTCCAATTTTCATCCTTCATTCCTAACAGTATTCTTGATTATCCATGAACCTGCTCACTAATATTTATTTATTTATTTTTGTATTTATTTTTATATTTGTACATAATCTAACATCATCGTTGCTATTTCATATTCCATTATCACTTGTATATTATCGCCATCTTCTTTGCATATTAATTTTCATTGTTTATTAATTTTTCGCTAACATCCTCATTTTTAAGATCCAAATTTCTAACTTTTTTTCTTGTTCCGTTAATTATAATTTTCTACTTAAATTCCTAACATTCCCGTCTAATTTTTTGTCTAACCCCGTATAATAACAGTCTCGGTTTGTTTTGGTTTTTTGCAGCTGACTAAGTTCAATTGATTTTATTTTCAGTTTAAATATTCAATTATCATATTTGTAACTGCTTATGGGATGTAATTTTGCGAGACAATTGTCGCATTTATCTTTCCGCACTTTATTTTCTGCCATTGTATGTTTATCGCGTCTTTACCAATAACTTCACTCCTTCGAAGGAATTAGGTCTAGCCGTTTGACCGCTGTGTCAATAGTCCTCAACTTCAAACCCTTACAACCTCACAAACCCTAATTTTCACAAATGCCTCGCCGCAGGCAAGATTATAATTTTACCCCTAGCATTAGGTCAAAGAGCCGTCGCGCTCATTTTAGGGTTTCCCGCCGTGGAATCCCTAATTTAACCCTAATTACAACTTAACAATTCAACGTAGAGATTTGGAGTTTCTACACTCCACGTAAGCGTGTCCTTAAGATGCGTTTATTCCCCTTGAGACCTTGACCACAGTCAAGAAGTCTCTAACCTCCCTTTTGAGGGGAACTACGATTACTCTGATTCCACTCCCGTAAGGATACGTAGGCACAAGATGCGATGTCTTGTCGAGTAAACTTAGAATTAACCCCTTAGGTCTCCTTTCTCACTTTTAATCCCTTTGTACATATACCTTAAGCAAATAAATAAAGCAAATAGTAAACATCTGAACAAAAGGTTCCTGTAGAGTACTACAGAAGTTTAGGGTGCTAGTACCTTCCCTAAATTTAACCAACCCCCGAACCCTAGATCTTTCCCCGCATTGTGTTTACGATGCAAAATAGGTTTTCCCTCTTTTGACATTTTCCTTCGGATAAATCAAAGAGCGGTTGTGAATTGAATTGCGATTCAAACTCATTAATAGTTTGTGATCCTATTTCCACCGCAACACCTCGCCATCAGATGGATGTCGCATAATGCTTGAACTATTAGAATTTGTATGATGCCATGTCATTTGGCTTGCACTATGAATTGACGCAAACATTCTTTGCAATCTAGGAATTATTGGAAGATAGAACATGGACTTTACTGCAACTCGTGTTTGCTTTCGATCAACGCCTTTACTGCGAACTAAATACCTCAGACTCTGACAAAACTTACATTCCTCCAATCCCCCATCATTTGTACCAAACTCATTATCATAAAACAACATACAACTTCTAATGTAACAATCAATCTTTTTCACTTTTAGTCCCAACTTCGACACTATTATCTTCGCATCATAATAACTTGTAAGCATGTTTTCTTTCACGGGAGTTGCATCCAACATTATTTTTGCAAAGAATTCCAAACACTGATCAGGAACATTCCAATTTGACTTAGCAGCCAAGAGTCTCACGCACATGGATAACATGGAGTCAGATGACCCCTCAAACAGTGATATATTCATTTCTTTCAACAATTGATAAAACTTTTGCGCTTCCTCGTTCGGGGGCTCACTTGCATCAAAATCTTGAGATTCATCATAAGTCACATTCACCCCTAATGCATCACCAACCATATCATCTATGAGATTAAACTGTTCTTGGTCTTGCAAATATAGTTAACATCTTGATGCCTCTCTACCTATCTCAACTCTAACATGTGTTTGGCTACTTAACGCCTCTCTATTAATCTCTGACAGTATTTCTCTATTAGATTACTACACGCAATAATTTGGCCTAAAACCATCCTTCTCAAAGTGGCGTTTCACTTCATTTGGGTCACTAATTATATTTCTGCAACCACACTTTAAAAACGGACATCTTACCTTTCCTTCGCTTCGACAACATTCTTGAGCAAACACATATGTAAGAAACGCAACAACTCCTTCTTTAAAATATGGTTTAAGCCCACGTCTTCCTGAATATGTTCTATCATACATCCAATTACGATAGAACTGATAATATTCCACACTGCACATGTGTAATGTTGTTCATGTTTAAATTTAAATTTAACAAAAGGAAAATTGATCTATCGACAAACATATGACTATATTGATCTAACTAACATATCATATAAATCTAAGACATTTTTTTTCTATAAAACAATCTATATTTTTTTAAAACAATACATTATTAATGTTTTCAAAATAGAATAACTTACAAATTATATACTTTTATGATAAATTCATATTTTCAATAAATATATTACATACTTTCTAAATAAACAATGTATATGAATATATATAATCTATTCTTTTATAAAAATATGTAATATATTTCTTAAACTAATTTTACAAATTTATAGACAATAAAATATACAACAATATTATATATTATGTTTCTACAAATTTACATACTTTATAACATATTTTAACTTACAAATTATATACTTATATGTGTCGCGGTGAAATTTGGATACCAAACTATTGATTAGTTTAAATCGTTAATTCAATTTGCAACCGATCTTTGATTTGTTCAAAGGAAGGGATAAATATCGAAATTCCCACAATGTAATGCAAATGCAAGGTTTAGAGAGTTTTAGGTTCGGGGGTTGGTTAAACTTAGGGAAGGTACTAGCATCCTAAGTTTCTATAGTACTCTACAGGAACCTCTTGTTTTATGTTTGTTTATTGCTATGTGTTTATCTGCTTAAGGTTAAAGACCTAGGAGTTTATTTCTAAGTATACTCGATAAGATATCGCATCTTATGCCTACATATCCTTACGGGAGTGGAATCAGAGTATCTGTAGTTCCCCTAAAGGGTTGAGGAGTTCTTTGACTGTGGTCAAAGTTCCTACGGGTTTAGGGTAGTTGTTTTATTGTTTTTTAGGAGAGGAGATGTGTCTTCATTTTAAGGGATATTTAACCGCCACAGGTTGTAGGAAAATAGTCTTTGCATCGTCTTAAGAAAAGGGCTTAAGTACTCGGATTGTATGACGAGTATGCCTTTATCGCTCTTAAGGCAAAGTCCCTACATGTTTGATTGTATTGTTGTGGGGGTGGAGATTATATCTCACTTAAGATGATTGGCATCTTTCTCTAATGTGTTTGAATATTGTGTTGTGTTGTGTTGATTGTTTGAATATTGTTGTAGAGATAAAGACAAGGTCCTTCCTATGGGGTAGGTCCTATCCTAAAATGATTGACTTGAATGGGATCAAGGATCAAGCGGGAGTATGATGCAAATGATATGCACTACACACGATTGTTGAATCATGTGTAGGGTTTTCCTTTGGACGGTTATGCAGTAATGCGATAAAATAAATTGCGGTAAAGTAAATTACTGTAAGATAAATTGCAGAAATAAAAAGGGCAAGTAGGTAAATCATACACATACGCTTGAAAGCGCTGAAGTGTGTGAGAGTGAATGTGTCGTGGATGTGAGTGTGCACGATTGTTTACGATGTTGACTAATTTTAGTTAAATTGATTTATAAGAAAATATTATTTTAGATTACAATTTATAAGTGAAGTTGACTTAAAGGGTGGGTTGAATTGTTTTGAGAAAAGTTGAATTTAGTTAATAAAAGGTTGAGATTGATTTATCAAAATTTAGCCATAAATTATTATTCCTTGTTATAAAAATGTTTTATTTTGATTAAGTTATTATAAAAAGGGTGAGTTAATTGATGAATGTTGATTTTGAAGGAGTTGTTTCAATTTAATAAAAAAAGTATTCTAGATGTGAATTATCTTAAATAGATAGGATTTTTTAGAGTTTTAGTGAAATAGTTAAATAGTTTTATATAAATTACTAAATTGTAGATTAATTTAGTTTAGAAATAAATTATTATTATTTTAAAAAAACTTGCTATTTAAAAAAAAGCTTTATTAATAATTGAATGAAATACATTTGTTATTATAAATGTTGAGTTGGATAAAATATCAAAAGGAATAAAAATAAAACATTAAATTGATTGGATTAAAGGTAGTTAGATGAGTGAAAAAAAACAAGTAAATTAAGTTAATTTAAAAAAGGATTAATTTAAGGAAAAACTGATGAGAAAATAACTAATTAATTAGTTGGTTAATTATTTAAATAAAAGGTTAATATTATATTAAGTTAATTAGTTAATGAATAAATGAGGTTGATTAAGGGTTAATGGGGGTTAAGCGATGGTTTAACGGTGTGGTTAGTGTGTGTGGGTGATTATGTTACAACAAAATCCAAAATTAAAAAGAAACGTAAACCCTAATCCCAATTTTCCCTCCCCGCGCCGTTTTCTCCCCTCAGACTCTCACATGTCGTCGTTCTTGTTCTCCTAAATCGCCATTTCTCTGTTCCTTTCTCCCTGCGATTCTTTTTGTCTTCTCTCATTTTCCCGAGTCTTTCCTCCCTCATCGCGCCTCCTCCTTTTCTTTGTTACCTATCTGTCATCGTATTTCTTCCTGTTTCTACATCGATCAAACAAAAACAAAAAAACGGTTAAGTGTTAGCGAAAAAAGAAATCCCACGATTCAATGTTGTTGTTTTTTTGATTGCAGATTTGACGATGATGGTGGGCTTGCGATGGGTGAGGGATTCGCGGCGATGGTGCGAGGGTTTGATGGAGCTCGCGACGATTTGCGGCGAAGGTTTGAGATGAGTTTCTTATCACTTATTGTTTTCCAAAATTTGGTTGATTTGGGGATTTTGAGATTTTCTGTTTGTGATTGTTCTTTGTTCTGCAAATGTTGCGAATTCTGTGCACCTTGTGAGTTTTTTCTGAGTTCTGTCTCTGTTCTTTTTGCGTGTATTCCTTATCCCTTTTATAGGCTCAGAAGGAATCAAATATATTGATGGATTGAATGCTCTGATTATTATCTTTGAATTGGTTTAATGAACTTCCCTTTTTGGTTTGTACAAGAGAAAAACAATCTTGGAATACTTCTGTTTTTGGATCAATCCATCAATGTTGATCATAACTGTCATGTGCCCACCATTTTAGGAAAGGAAAGGAAGTATCTTCAATTGGGATGTCGTCTGTGATTTGGAAAGTTTTAAAGCTGTCTGATTGTTGTTCCTTTGTGTATTCTATTACTTGCCCAGATTTGTACAATTGGAGTATCAGCCACTGAGTAGCCACGTGGTATCAATGTAATTCCGCTAACATCAGAAACGTTACCAACGTTACCAAGCACGATTTCGGATTCAACGGAGGTCACACTAGATGGAGCTTTCCAATATGGTAGCCGTGAACTGTGTGCCGCACTTGGTTGGAGGCTTTTCCATGGTATCTCACCGGCTTTCGGTAAGTCAGTGTGAAGAAGTTTTCCGGACCGCCAGTCCCCCTTGCGGCATCGATGATGACGTCCGAGTTTTCTGAAAATCTCGAATAAAGTTTACAGGTTCGGCATAGCCTCGGAAATGCATTGTCGTGAGGATTGGCTCGCAGGCGTTTATGGTGTGGAGGTTCACGATTACCATTTTGATAGAAGGGTGCCAATTACTTCTAAACTTGTAATGAACAGGTTCCTTGAAATGGAGACTAAATACCAATACTTTGGTGATTTAATATGGATTCTACCATGTAGCTTTGAAGGCTTGTGAAGAATATGTAGACTTGAGATTATAGTGTGAACCTTACGAAAATTTATTTTTACTTTGTAGCCTTGGCGTTGGATGCTTGGGCATAAATAGGATCTAGAATTTCTCTAAACATGATTCTCTTTGTAAAACTTGTCTTGTACCATGCCAATGTATTGTAATGTTATAATTTGCTTGATTATAAATCTTAACTATAAGCTTGTCTCCTCCATGAGCTATCACTGTTGGACTAGGAAATTGTCCATTTACTGTCAAAATGTTCTTAGTACTATATAATCTTCTGAAAGATTAAGATTTTATCACAAACTTGTGATGGTGAATTTTCCATTTGCAATATGAATCAGAAGAATATATAGTATAGAGAGTGCAAAAAATCTCAACATTTTGAACTTGTTGGAGATCCTCATTTCGGTTGTAAAACATAATGACTTGGTCATTTGATTTCTTGAATCTGGCCATTGTAATATCTTATTGACTTTTAATGAGAATCAAATTTTGTGTATGCTTTCGTGGGATTTTGGTATCAGAATGTCTTGTGGTTAAATTCAGCTTTGCTAATCCATGATTTGGGGCCTCCTTGAGTAATTACATAGAACTTGCATATCCTTCCCGCGTATATCGTGAAGATGAAAACTCGTAGTGTGAATTTTAATGAGATCCTTGATTTGTACTCACTAGAGTTTGCAATCCCGCATTCAAATCCTCTTATCCTCCGAGGTACTGGTTTGAGATCAAAGACAACAGTGCCAAAGTCTTGGACGTTAACCACGTGAATGTTGAAGTTGGCCTCAAAAAATGCAAACTCCCAGTTCACATCCTCTTTAGTCCATAGTTTATGTGATGCCAAAACACATGAGAGACCCTGAACCCGTTGTCGGAAAATCCTGAGGGACCTTTTGAGGCTGAGGGTACGCCAGTGAGAAAACCTAGAATCCTTAAATTAGAAAGGTTATCCTGAACTGCTTTGACTGCAAGGAACTTCATTAAAAAAAACCCCGCGTCTACATACGCTGGTTAGCCACAATAAATACACGCAAAAGCATAGAGACAACATGTAGGAGAAAGATGCACGAGGAGGTGGGATCCTATGGTCAAAAATTAGGGTGCAACAGATGCCCCTATTTAAGTTACTCCTATTCGGAGATATGGAGATGGGAATCTCTGTCTCGACGAGATAGGAGGGACTTAAATACAAACATTGCACGAATTTTTGGCCATAAGAGGCCACCGAATGCAAATGATATGCAATGATATGAAACGCAAGACAGATTGTGGGGTCCTGAGGAGAAATGGCGCCACAGGGGAGAAACACAACTCACGGGAAGAACATGCTCAACGAGCGAGGCTTCGCGGGGGGAAGGTTGACAATCACAAGGTGTTTGTAAATATGTTGTGAAGAACTTGGTGAGAAAAC